GCTGTAAAGATCTGATGGCTCCCGCTCTCGCGCATTGAGGTTAGGATTTATCAAGGGCTGCCACATCGAAGGGGTTCCGATCTCACGACGGCTTCGGGATCGCAATTCCTGCGCAGTCGGAGTCAGGGAGAAGCGAGGAGGAAGAGGGGGAGGGAGGGAGGGAGGGAGGGGTCCGCTCCAGCTGTAGAGATCTGAAGGCTCCCGCTCTCGCGCATGAGGCTAGGATTTGTCAAGGGCTGCCAGATCGACAAGTCCTGCGCAGTCGGAGTCGGGGCAAACAAGGAGGAAGAGGGGGAGGGAGGGAGGGAGGGAGGGAGGGAGGCAGGCAGGATGGGAGGGAGGAAAGGAGGGAAGGAATGGGAGGAGGAGGAGGAGGAGGAGGAGGAGGAGGAGGAGGAGGAGGGAGGAGGGAGGAGGGAGGGAGGGAGTGGTGAGGAGGGATGAAGGACAATGAGAAGGCGACGACGAGGAGGAGGCGGACGACGAGGGAAGAGGACGACGAATAATTTAATGATGATGGAGCACGGACAAGCTTTGAGATGATGATGGTGATATGAAAGGATGGGCGATGGTTGTTATGATGGTTTTGGTGATGGTGATGCTGCTGTTGATGATGATGACGATGACGATGGCGATGACGACGATGACGATGACGAAGACGATGATGATGCTGGTGGTGATGATGATGGTGATGATGATGATGCTGATGCTGATGCTGACAATGACGATGGCGATGGCGATGACAATGGCGTTGCTGATGACGATTACGATGTCGATGGCGACGATGCATGTGATGGTGATGATGATGTGATGATGATGGCGAACACGATGGTGGTGACGATAATGATGACGATGGTGATGCTGCTGCTGATGATGATGATAATGCTGATGATGATGATGCTGATAGTGGCAACGATGATGCTGATGATGCTGCTGGTGATGATGAATATCATGATCGGTGGTGATGATGATGATGATGATGATGATGATGATGCCGATGATGATGATGATGATGATGATGATGATGCTGGTGATGATGATGATGAAGAGGCTGCTAATAGTGATGATGATGCTGATGCTGATGCTCATGATGATGATGACGATAGTGATGAAGATGCTGATGCTGATGATGGTGATTGTAACGACGGTTATGACGATGAGGATGGTGATGCTGATGCTAGTAATGACGATGCTGCTGATGATGCTGCTGATAATGTTTATGACGCTGATGACAATGCTGATGCTGATGATGATGATGATGATGCTGATGCTTCTGATGATGATGCTGGTGGTGATGATTTCGATGATGATGATGCTGCTGATGACGATGACGATGACGATGGGTGGTGGCGATGGTGGAGGTGTAGGTGGTGATGATGATGCTGAGAAGGAGGAAGAGGAGGAGGAGGAGAACGAGAAGGAGGAGGAGGAGGATAACGAGAAGGAGGAGGAGGAGGAGGAGGAGGAGGAGGAGGAGGAGGAGGAGGAAAGGGATGGGAGGAGGAGGAAGATGAGGAGGAGGAGGAGGATGAAGAGGAGGAGGATGAGGAAATGGAGGAAGAGGACGAATAAGAAGAGGGGGAGGATGAAGCAAAAGGCCAGAACGACGAGGGGGGAGGACGTAAGAGGAGATAGATGAGGATCAAGGATCTATAAGGTTAGGAGAGACAGGGGAGAGGTAAGAGGAGGAGGGTGAGGACCAGTGTAACCCCAAGACCCATCAACGATGCTGAATCCACACTCCATCCATGTTCCCTCTTCATCGGCCCCTGCAAGGGTTCATGTTCCCTGAGGGAATTGCCCCGTTGGGGGGACAACCGTGTGAAAATCTGGAAGCTTGCCAGAACACCATTCTTAGGACTTCAACGCCACGAGTTAACCTGACTGTTACGTCTTGGCGATCCTGAGTCGCACCAGGACACCATTCCTGCAACTGCAACACCGCCAATCAATGTAACTGTTGCGAGCAGTGTTTCTGGTATTTTTGCTATGAGAACCAGTGAAAAGCTTGCACATGTTTAATAAATTTATCCCAGTGCGACCCTACCTAGGAGTTGGAGCCCCGAGGAAACCAGCACAAGCAAAGTCTGAGATTCTCCAGGGGAGATCTATGTGAGGCCTCAGGGGCCCAAGTGAGTGAGACCCGAGCCTGTGCCTAGCAAGCCTTGTGGGCCCTCTGGAGGCCCGCCAGCCTAGCCTCTCACTGTTTTCCTTTCCCTTTCCCCCTTGCCCCGTCTCCGTGCACTGTGCATGCCCGTCGCCGTATTTGGGCTCTCAAGGCCGGCCGTTTTAGCTTTAGCTATCGTACTGGGCTCGACTGAGCCCCCGCGAACAGCAGAGTTGATTTGGTCCGCTAGCCAGCGGGAGTGCAAAACAACCAGGTCGACAATCAGACTGGTATATCGGAGCTTGTGGTTTCGATTTGTGGGCGTGGCCGAACGCTCACCAACACGGACATTGAGCCCAATACGCAAGCAGCTTCGAGATGAACGACCAGGGTCAAGGCCGCTCATACTACCGTGATGATGAGATTGTGGTGGACAGAGATGGGCTGCCGCACTACACGGGCGCGAACCCAGACCTGCTGAAAGAGTATAAGACGAGAGTCAACCTGGCGCTGGCGAGGCTCGAGGGATCGGGCTCAGACGAAGAGAAAAAAGTGGAGAAGAAACAAAGAAGGTTTCGGGTTAAGCTGCTGGACGAACTACATGGACGAGCCTGGAAAAGAACAGAACACTTGGCAGCAAACCCGAAGGAGCTGAGGCGCGAGAACGGCGAGCAGCTGATCTTTGACGCGTTGGCATCGCTGGACAAGGAGGCCATCGTGAAGAAAAGGATGGCGTTTGACAGCTTCTTCAAGCGGAGCTATAGGAAGCGTGGAACCGACATGGGCGAGTACTTAGCCAACAAGGAAAAACTGTGGGAGGACCTACAGGAGAGAGAGAGAGAGAGCACGACGAGATTGTCGGATGACCTGATGGTCTACTTCTTGCTGGATGGTGCGGGGCTCTCAGAGGAGCAGAAGAGGGGAATAGTGATGAACAGCGGCTCAGAGTACAAGTTGGATGCCTTCCAGCATGCGCTCAGGGTCAATTTCCATGGCGCGCACGAGAAAGAACGGAGGAACCCGCAGCACCGGCACTAGCACAAGCAGAGCAACCAGAAGTGGAATAAGGGCCACCGAGGGAAGGCGAATCAGGTGGAGGACCACGATGAGTCAGACATCTCGGACGAGGAGTTTGACGACGAGGAGCAGGCCAATGCAGTCGACGAGGCCGACGACAACAGCGACGCTGGGGCATCGAACGACGACGAGGTCTACGAGGCGTACTCGGCCTACGAGGCGGCGCGCAAGAAGCTGAAGGACACACAGAAGCAGCGGGGTTTCTTCAAGGGCGAGGTCACCTTTGAGGAGCGTCAGGAAGCGATCAAAGAAGAGAAGAAACGGACCCGATGTGGAGCTGCGGGCGTATCGGACACTGGGCGGGCGACAAGGACTGCCCGAAGAGCGGGCAGCAGGGCGCCAAGAAGTTCGGGGGTGGCAAGGGCGGCAAGCCGAAGAGCAAGGCGAAGCCCGGGAAGCCGAAGCGCGCGTTCTTCACCTTGGACATGGGCGACATGGACTACGAGATGGGCGACGCTGACGCGGGCGCTTTCGCGGCCAACGGTCCGCACGGTGAGCCAGATCAGGACGACCGCGACTCGTTCTATGAGGACTCGAGCGAAGGCGAACCCAAGGATGAGCGCGAGGATGGCGGCTGCCACAACCGAAACTATGACGAAGACCGGAAGGGGTCTCAAGGAGCGGCGGCAGCGGCAGCAGCACCCAAGCCTAAGGTTTAGCCGAAGATCAAGCCGACGAGGGCGCCGCAGGAGTCTATCCCGACCGAGGACTTCGGTGAGTGGAAGGTTTACGAGTTGAAGAAGCGCTTGAACGAGCTCAACCTGCAGGTGAGTGGCAAGCGGGGGATCCTCGTCGAGCGACTTATGGGATACTATGCGGGCATCGCGCAGGTCAAGAAGGGGTGCAGTACGGCAAAGACGGCAGTAGCATCGTGGTCAGGTACTTCGATGGGCCTGCAGGGCGAGAACATGAAGTGCGCCGACTGCGGCAAGTATGGGCACCATGGAGGTGGCGCGCGCTGCCCACTCTACTCGGATATGAAGGTACACAAGCAGATTCAGGAGCGGCGAGAGCAGATCAAGCTGGAGTTGGACAGCAAGCCGATCACCAAGCCGAAGATGAAGGAAAATTCAGCGAGCTCGGCAGCATCATCAACGACAGCGTCCTGGGAGTTCATCGACAACGCCAACGAACTTACCTGCCCCGTGTGCTACCGCGTCGGCATGACGCTGAAGATCAACAAGGTCAACGGGAGTAAGTTCTACGGGTGCCCGAACTACCTCGCCGCCATGAAGTGCAAGGGAACGTATGACTACGAGGTGGGCCAGGCGAAGCTGAACGAGGACGGCTCTTCGAGCCGTTCGTTTCGTGCCTAAGCGTGGGCAGGGCCAAGGAGGAGGCTCGGCGCCCCCCGCAAAGTTCGGGGAGCTTCCCGGGCCAAGGACGGGGGCGCCCCTTTTGGAGACGCCCTTCGAGTTTGCGGCCGGGCAGCTCGACAAGCGCAAGCTCATCTTGTTCAACGCTGGGGATGAGCTCAGCTTCAATGGCCAACTGGGATAGTCCAAGGCAGCCTTCGTAGTCGCCAATGACAGCACGTTTTACTCAGTCGACTTCGACGCCGTTGCGCTGGTCGACACTGCATGCGCCCTTTGCATGCACAGCAAGCACTGGAGACAGCGTTTCGAACGATTTCTGCCACCTGGCTTGGCGCGCCGGCCAACCGGCAGTCATAGGCTCTTCGCCTTCGCGAACGGCACCAAGCAAAAGGGCGAGGTCTGGATCATTCCGATTGGCATCGGCGGCTACCGTGGCGAGACACTCAACGGAGATACTTGCGGGACAGACGCCACTGCTCTTGTCGATACCAGCCCTTGAGATGCTTGACGGACACATTCACATGAAGACGAAGAAGCTTGGGCTCACCGCGTTGGGGATCACCGTGGCGCTCATTAAGATGCGAAAGGCCCCTCACCTGGGGATCGACGTGTCGCAGTTCGGTGACGACGAGAGCGCAGCGACACAGAGGATGGACCTGACGTCAACCCGAGGAGATGCACTAGTCCACTACGCGAACGACCTTGAGATCGCGAAGCAGGGCTATGCATTCTTAGAGAAAGATTGCCACGACGACGTCTTCGACGTCTCGTTGAACTCCGATGGTGGGACCATGGATCTGAATGACCCTCGTCGCCATAGCTCGGATATCTCACTGGCATCGAGAGGCGTCAGAGCTGGAGATCTACGCGGAGAGCTCACTAAGAGGCGGACGGGGGAGCTCACTAAAGTTTCGAACAGAATCATTGCGCAGGAGAAGCATACCTGGGTAATCCGAAAGAAAGAGTACACCCTGGCCGAGAAGATAGCCACGAATGGTTTCAGGACAGCGATGATTTTCGAGCCTTGGGGTGGCGCCTTCAGAGTTACACGAAAAGGGTCGGCAAATTTCGGATGGACGAATTCTCAACCGTTGGACAAGGTAGATGGATACGATCTGTTGACGGCAGATGGAGAGAAGTTGTTGTTCAATATCCTAGAGGAGCACGACCCTGTTTTGACTATCGTGGCGTTTGACTGCAGAATTTGGTCAGTTATGACGAACATGTGCCCGACGATCGACCGGGAGAACCTCCGAGAGACCACAGGAGTCCGAGTCTTGCGTCTGGTGAGAAGAGTCTGCATTCATCGCTTACAGCACGGTCGATATTTTCTTGCAGAACAACCGTGGTCAGCAGCATCCTGGAAGTACAAGGGAGTGCTGGCGGAGGTGTTTTGGTCACCCGGGGCATGGTTTGCTTCGGGTGCCCAGTGCGGGTTTGGCAAGAAGGATGTAGACAGCGGAAAGCCGATCCAGAAGCTCAGCGGCTACCTCACCAACAGTCAGCGCATCTTGAACAAGTTGGCCATGCCTTGCAAGTGCAAGGAGCCTCACGAGATGGTGGAGGGCAACAACTCAGCAGGGAAGCGAGCAGCTCAGGCAGCGGCCTACCCACCGAGGATGGCAGCGGTGATGTGTGAAGGAATACGTCAGCAGATCGAGCTCGATAGCGCCATCGCCTTGGCCACAGGTGATATGGAGAAGAGCTACCCGGCAGGCGGTGAAGATGGGGTCGAAGCACCACCGGCAAAGAAAGCAAGGAGAGGTCCGAAGCTACTCGGAGGAGTTGGCGGTCTACGACGACGAGTCACTCGAAGAGGAGGCTGGATCAATATGCAGAAAGAGAAGTCGGACAAGGTGATGGAGATCTTCAACAATTTCGTGGATTTCCTGACGCCGCTCACCCTGCCGTGGCCATCAGTGGACGAGCGGGCGGCGCAGATCGGAAAGCCCGAGGAGACGAATGCGACAGTTAAGCTGCTGATGATCAGGCGCAACCCGCGTGCGCTGTTAGGAGTGCAACCTCATGTTCACGTATCACAAGCACCTCTTCGGACAGCCTACGCCAGAAGTGAACGAGGTTTGTGGCAAGAGCTCGGATGGGAAGACTGGACGAGCTTATCACCGCAGCAGAGAATCATGAAGATCGCAGGTGCGGATATTCTAATCATGGTGCATGGTGTGCAGACCGGCGAGGCGGAGGACGAGGAGAAAGATAAGGAGACGACCCGGCAGCAGCGTTGGGATCAGTTACCACGCGAGCTGAAGATGGCGATCAGACGACTTCACGAGAATCTGGGTCACGCTTCGAAGGTGGAGATGTTAAGGGCTTTGCGTATTTCGAGGGCGTCGGAGGCAGCAATCAAGACATGTCGATTATTTCACTGTGAGCATTGCGAACGAACAAGACGACCAGCACTGGCAAGACCGAGCAAGTTACCTACAGTGGACGAGTTCAACGTCGTGGTCGGGTTCGACACCTTTGCCGAGAAGGACGCATCTCAAGCTGAATGGCAGTTTCTCAAGATCATATGCTTGGGTTGTTCATTTCAAGTCGTTGCGTTGTTGGGAGAAGTTCACAAGATGGCAAGTTCGAGTACCATCCTGGAGTCCTACGAGTTGTGTTGGGCTTCATGGGCTGGTGAGCCTGAGGTTGGAGTCATCGTGGACAGGGCCAGGAGTTTTCTTGGCAGTTTCTCTGAGTGCATCGCAAGTCGCGGCTGCCGTTTCGACTCGGCCGCCAAGGCAGCAGCATGGCGCATCGCCGAGGTCGAGCGCCATGGAGACCTTTGGCAAGCCATGTGGAGGAGAGTCGCGTGGGCCAAGCAGGTAGCGGGTCGCGAGGACGTCTTGAAGGCGGTGATTGAGATCAACCCGGCGAAGAACTCTTTGAGCAGAAGATCGGGTTTCTCACCAGCGCAGTGTGTACTTGGTCGAGACATGCGTTTACCAGCAGACTTGATGGACGACGGCGAGGTGGAGCGCATTGGAGCAGTGGCAGCATCAGCGACACCAACATCAAAGTTCGCAAGGAAAGTTGCACTACGGCAAGCAGCACGCGAGGCACATGCGAGAGTGGCGAATGAGGACGCCATCAAGCGGGCAGAACTTCGACAAGTACGACCAGAGCGTGGACCCTTCAATGTTGGTGACTGGGTGTTCTACTACGATCAGAGAGAGCAAGGAAAGAGACCCGAGAGCGTCATCAACTGGAGAGGAGTTGCAAGAGTCATCGGCCACGAGGGCAAGCACACTATCTGGATCGTGCACAGGGGCATCACAATCGCTTTTGCACCGGAGCATCTCGCGAAGGCTTCAGATGAGGAGGTTAGAGCGTGGCTTGTGACGGCGCAGGAAGCGGATCTGATCGACACCACGGGAGTTGCAGGAGGCAGCGGGTTCATAGTTCATAGACCTAAGACGGCGGCCAGTGCCACCAGACTTTCGTGAAGACGGAGTTCCTGTACAGCCAGAGCCAGCGGCAGCACAGCCACCTCCGGAGGCACCACCACCCGAGGTGCCACAGCCGAGTGAGAAGTAAGAAGTTCCAGCACCACAGCCAGAAGCAGCAGAGCAACAATAAGTACCAGAAACACTTCGACAGGGCAGACCACCTGTACCTGAAGAGCCAGTTGTTCGACGACCAGAACAGCGGGACGAGCAGGAAGAGGCCGTGAAGGACTTCGTTCAGCAGGCGATTCAATCGAGAGAAGTTCCAATGGGGGAAGAAGGATCCATATCTACACGACTATCATTCAGTACCTGTACGCGGTGCACCACTCGACGATCAGTCGAAGGAGGTGAAGGCGAGGCCAGCAGAGGAAGCAGGAGAGCGAGAAGCTAAACGACAACGGCTACTCGAATATGTACCTCACTCGATTCGAGAGAGTCGGAGGGATCAAGAGGCGGCGTTCAATGTCTATGACGACGGTGATCACATGCTGGAGGCAGCCTACATGACCTACGAGGTGAATCAGACCTTCTACGAGGAGCGCGGCATCAGCAGGGATGTGCTAGGCTTCGGAGTGGAGAGGAACGAGTTCGAGTACGCCTGCCAAGTCGGCCAGACTACCGCGAAGAAGGGCAGAAAGGAGCTGAGGTTGAAGGAGCTCAACGAGGAGCAGCGCAGGATGTTCACAGGACCTGGAGGTTCTGACGAGAAGGAGTGGAAGTCGTGGCAGGACTTGGACGCTTGCGAGACCCTCGACGCGGCGGAGAGCGACAGGATCTGGGAGACCAAGAGCGACCTCATCATCCCGGCCAAGTGGGTCAGGACGAACAAGAGCGAGGGGACCGTCGAGGGTGGATTCGAGGCGAAGTCGAGGATGGTGGTTCAGGGTTTCAAGGACAAGAGTCTTGGAGAGTACCGAAGGGACGCACCTACCGCTTCGAAGCTCGCGGAGGCGATGGTTCTTCTGGTGATTGCAAGTACCAACATGATCATGAGTTGCGGCGATGTCAAGAATGCTTTCTTTTTTTCTGGGCGCGGTATTGGACGTGAGGTTTACATCAGCCAGCCCCGAGGGGGACTTCCTGGCTTACATCCCAGACAGCTTCTGAAGGCCAAGAAGGCAATCTACGGTTTCGCGGAGGCGGCACGTTTATTTTGGTTGGCTTTTTGTGAAGTATTGGAAAAGGATGGATGGGTTCAATCATTTCTGGAACCAGCGTTATTTTACTTAAGAGATGACGGTGGCATGCTGGTTGGGATTATGTGCACTCATGTAGATGATTCGTTAGCGGGTGTTCTTGCAGAGTTTGAAAAGACAGCTTTGAAGTTTACGAGGGAGAAACTGAATTTCTCGAAGTGGCAGAAGGAGGAGTTTGTTTTCCGAGGTCGCGAGATCAAGAACGAACGGCGAGGTCGGAGTCATGATGAAGGGTTACAGCCTGAATATGAAGGGCGTTACGATACCAAGATATCGACGGAAGGAGCTC